AACTCTCGTCGGTCATTCCATGCTGCTGCATCGATGAGTTCTCGAGGACACGAGGTCTCGGCCGCCTCGAGCTCGAAAAATATGTCTTGTCAGCCGCGTCCGTTGGGGTGGAAGAGCCGAGCGAACATCCCGTACCCTGCGTCATTTCATCTCGACTCTCGACCTCCAGAGAAGCTCGCCCGAAAATGCGTGAGAGGATATGGACGGCGCGAGGAGCGTATCCTCACAGAGCTAATCTCGATGATTGTCCGATCTATGCACATCATCCGGACCTCACAACTAACAATCAGTCAGAGGGCCGGAGACGATCAGTTTCTCTCGAATGGCGAGGCGGCGGACGTCGAGAGGTCTAAAGCGCTCCCGTGAAATTCCATCAGACACCAGGATAACCCTTTGTTGCCGGAAGAATATCCCCAATCCGTTCCCCGTAGGTCCGGCGCAAAGAGGCTCGCGAGGTGTTTAATGAACACAAAGCGGATATTAATTACAAGGCGAGCTATCTCGCTGTCGAGCTGACCAACAAGCCCGAGGGCAGGCAGCAGCTCCTAGGCACGACACGGGCTACACTATATCTAATCAGACAGATTGTCTCCGAAATACCGAATGCCGCGAGGAGCACAAAGAGCGAAACGACAATGGTGGGAAGGGGGGGGGCTGAGCTGGCATTCGCCTCCATGTCGCGAGTGCTTTGAATAAATTGACTAGAATGACGATAATAACGTCGACGACGACCGCTCTGGGGCACACGCCACAACTGGAACGGAACGGGCGTACTTCGGACGAGCCGGGTGCGAACGCAAACAAACGCGTCATAAAAATGCGTACAGCAGACCCGTGCAGCCTGAGCTCACAATCAGCTGAGCGTGATCCTGTGGAAGCGATCGAATGTTTCTCGGAGTCGGGTCCGCCGAAACGTTTTTCTGTGGTCGAAGATAACGGCGCTGGAACGCCGAAGATGGCTTCACGCATGTACGCGCTGATGAACTATTCGCCAGTCCCCCCTCCTCTCCCATGATCGCGGGTTCGACAACTCGTTGCGGCGCTGTATGCGATCGATCTCCGCTTAAGCAGCGGAGCTGTCCAAGAAAAAAAACGCGCGAAAAGAGAGGACGTGGATAATTTCCGTCTGGACTTTTCAGCGATGGGTCCTTCCGGGACTAGCCCCACCGCCTATCTGGGGAAAATCCCTCGTCCGAAACCGCTGCATCGTTGGTATCTTCGGTGGACTCCCGCGTCTCGGAAAGAGGAACAAACGCGTCTCGGAAACGGCTGTCTTCAGCAGCAGCCGTCGACATGGACATCGTCATTACCGCGATCGTCGCATGAATGACCAGCCGAGAGAGTGGGGAAACTTTCGAATTAAACGGTAGTTGCCGAGCCGAGAGTTTTCCCTGAGAACGTGACTCTGTGCTTTACTGCACACCGATCTTCGGCGGCATATTCAGATGCTGCATGGTGGCTGAGATTAGCATCGCGCTTGTCACCGCTCGTTTTCTCCGTTGTCGTTCTTTGTTCCCCCTCGCGCTCGCGTTCCCTATCTGCTCCCATCATTATCATTCCGGCAGAAGCGTTACCATTCGCGGCATCTACGCACTGTGCCCATAGAGAACAGTAACGCCAGCAGCAGCAGCAGCAACAATTTCATTTGAGCTCGCGGCGCTTACTGGAAACGGCTCGCGACTCGATCGCAGTCATGCATCGGCCACCAGCGAACCGTTGTTCGTGTCTGGAGCCCGTGGTCGACTATTGAAACCAAACACTCTGTCCCTGTTCGAATTCGGTCTTCGGATCATGAGCTGGCTCGCAGTTCCCCGGGAGCTCTGCGGCGCCCTCCATTGGGGATCGCGGGGTCGCCAATGATAGGTCGTCCGCTCGGGTGGAGGGAAGAAGAGCTAAATCTTCGTAATCCGAACGTTCACCGCAAGGAGCGTCCTCATTCCCCACACTGCTCGCTCGCTATATTTTATTCGAGTCGACCGCTCGAATATCGGCTATGAATGTGGAATTCGTTTCGAATCGCATGAATATATATCGGGTCCGTGCCTTCCGTTCCCGTCTCGACTTCCCTCTCCGACCGGAGACTCGAGAGGTGAGGAAACGGCAAGCCAAGTTTCAACATTCCTCCAAGTTTATTCACACATGTTTCCTGCGAAATCCCCTCCTCTGAGATCTTCGGAAGTCGATGTCGAGCGAGGGATAAGGGGGACGAAATATCCGGCTCGGGAGCGCGTATGCCGCTATCGAGTTTTCCTTCGAGGATCCGACGGCTTTGTCGCCTGTTTGGAACGAGCGTGCGTACGTCCGTCGTGTTTCTCGATTGAGAGGAGACTAGTGTCCTACGGTGGGGCTCGAAATTTTTCCTTTTTGCGCGTGCCTACGGCTCCGATAGCGCTCTCGCTCCAGATGTCCCGCAATGACTAATCAGGGTCTTATCGCCAGCTTTGTTCGCGAGAATCCAGATTTTCACATGCCCGAAGCCCAGTTTTCCTTTGTATTCGAATGCGCACCCGCCGAGGACTCGATCCGGAAAATCCTCCTTTGCCGCGGAACCATGCGCCGCCCCGGCCCTAATGAAGTTCTTCTCTGCCGCCTGAGCGCGCTTCCCGAGCCGAAAATTATGATAAGGACGAGAATTTCGGAGATTACGGGTGTTCTGGTCGGCGTTCGAGTAATCATATCCCGACCTCGTCACCGAAAAATCGAATTGGAACGCTCCGGCCGGCAGACCAGCCGGTAATCTGGCCTGCTCGAGTCTCTGCAGGCAGGGGGAAGCTTTGAAACCGAATGTCTCCTGCAGTCGACAGGTGCTCTCAAATCCTTTCGGTGAACGTTAGCTTGTATAGCTCGCCGAGGAGAGCAGAAGTCCTCGGCCCAACTTGGCTACGTCTGGCGTCCGCACGATTCGAGAACGCTCGCTGTGAGCGGAATACGGCAGCGGATTCGAGAGAGGAGTCCACGGTTGTGCCCGGCTTCCTCCGGATCGGGGACAGCGGGGCTGAGCGGTGGCCCCTCAAGGCTTGGGAGCGGGGCAGTGCGTGATCGCTCGGTCTTAGCAACGGCAGAGAGTTCCGGTTTTGTGTGCCCTCGCGATCGATTCGCGAAAAATTATTAATTGATACAAACGCTTCATTTTTATAGAGGGGGGGAGGTTGTCGATAACACAATAGAGGGGAGGACAAGTCTACGGTCATTGCATATTATGCCCGCAGTGAACGTCGTTGTAACCCGCCAAGGAAACATGTTGTTGACTTTATCATTCTCAACGATCTGATCGCGCGGTATCACGAATCTGTTAGCGATGACAATGAGTTGAGATTGAGTTCAACGACGGCAGCGTCAACAATAAAAGTGAAATCGTACCCATCGAGTCCCTCCGTATGTGTGCAATACTCGCTCTGACGGAATCGCTCCGGTCGCTGACGGAAACTGTTGCTTTGTACACCGGAAGGCTCTGCCCGTCTTTGTTCGAATATCTTCCTCTCCTGGAGGGGAAGAGGGAGAAGGGGGAAGGTGCCTCTCCCCCGTTCCGAATACATTGTTCAAAGTATTAATTAAACTCCAGTGACTTGGACTGACTGGCAGTCGCGGAGGGTAGCGACCGGTCAGGCGAGTCAGCCGGCGAGCGAGCGGGCGGACGGACGAGAAAGTGTTCGTCCTTTCGTTTGTCCGTGCGTCGGTCCGATCGTTCCGATGTGCTCTCTCGAATTTCCATTTAGATTGAACTTTAAGCCGGACGCTTTTCAGTATGCACGAGATGGTAGATAGATTCCGACAGAGTGAGGCATCCCCTCGTCGTCCTCCTCATTTCATCTCATGAACGAAGCCAGCCAGCCAGCCGAGCGTCCGGGGCCGGCAACCGAAGATTCGGCTCTTCCCTCCCCCTGTCCCCAATCTGGTTCCCACTGGCCACTGACTTCCTCCCACAGTCCCCTTCGAGCGGCTTCATCAAGCGGCCCGAGGCGTTCCCGAACGGTAGCAGAGCAATTGTTTGGAAAACTCGGCCGTCTGAAATTTCACTCCGCCGAGGAAGTAGTAGCAAAGCATCATAGACATTCCTCTCGCGGCGGGGAGTTCGGAGAGGAAATGTTCGCGGGACGATGCATGCGACGATCCGATCCCTATAGGCGCAATTATTTCTATCGACGTCCTCACAGAAAAACTTTCACTTGCTCGAGCGAACTCAGGCGGCGTGGTCGTTATAACGACGACGACGGCGGCCACGAATGGGGGTGCACTCGACGGAGCGCCTGATTGCTCTTGAAACACTCGATTTAGAAACTGGGAGGTTTCGAGTTGAAAAGTTCGTCGTCGGCATCCCCGACAACAATTTCTTCCGCTAAACGAAGCCCGTATCAGCGAGACCAGGTTCTATTCCCGTTCATCCCAAAAATAGATCTGGCGCTCCGTGACCGCCTTTCGAGCGGCTACGCGGACCACCACAACAACCACAAGAACCGTCATTACCGGGGGACGGAAGGGACGACCGCCGCGTCTTGCTCCATCATGAACGCTCTGGCTCGGAGCCTATCTCGAGCACGGGGAACTCGAGAGATTAGGGTTCAATCAATTATAGCACGACGATGTATGTCGGTAATCCCCGTGGACCGTTGCCCGCCCGTGATTGAAATCATCCCCCGCGGAGCGAGCAGCTTCATGGATGTGCTAAGAGCCATCGTCAGCTCAAGATTTTCCCGCGCGGATGAGAGCAACCGGTGCGGGTGATATTCTCGAAAGACCTGTCGTAAAGACCGTTCTTGCAATGAGGACGTGAATAAATGACGCTATCCGCCGACGAACAAAACGTTCGCCTTATCCATGTTAATACCAGCTAATGCCGACGCGACGCTTCGGTCGGCTCGACGGGAACTCACGTGTTCAATATTCAGTGAATGACGCACTGAGAGACTCGACGTTTTTTTCTCACCCGCCGTGGATTATACAGTCAAGGGATGCGATCGGTTCGACCACCGCGGTTGTCGAAGGAAGAGGAGATCGACTGTCTCGACGATCCCGCATACTTATCTGGAGTCTCGAGAATCTCTCGCTTGGAGCTGATCGAGGCGGGCGAGAGTGAGCCGAGGGCGAAACGATCTGAATGTTTTTTTTTCTCATTGCAGAATGTGAATGCGTGACATTCGACTCCACGTTCGACAAGGAGCATGCCGTGTTCACCTCCCCGGACTGGCCCACACCGTACGACGAGAACATCGAGTGTGTTCTCTACCGTTTCATCAGTGGCGAGAATCAGATAGTCAAGGTGTATTTCGAGGAATTCGATCTACAAAAAACCAATATGGACTGCATATTCGGCGATTACGTCAAACTGTTCCTACATCTCGGTGACGAGGCTGCTGTCAACGAGATAACACCGTTCAACTCTGTGCTCTGTGGGAAACTCAGTGAGTGGAATTGATCCCTTTTCTTTTTGTCTATTTCGGAAATCTGGAATTTATCCTGAAACCTACGCACATAATATATTCATGGAGAGGTGTCGAGTTTCGGTGTTGTTGGTGAGAAATAGAATACTGGCTCCGAACACGCATGATGGATACTTTATGCGCTCCGATGCTTCTTCCCGTCAGATTGAGGGATCGCCGGCTGTGACCGAGCGAGGAAAGTTTCAGCGGTGTGTGGTTAATTCTGTAGCGAAGCGCGAATATGCAACGCGGGAGGGTCCGCTAGATCGTTGTTGCCTTTTGAGGCAGTTGCTCCCGAATGTCTTGGTAAATAAGGGACGGACGGACGAACGAATGAACAAACAATTCGGCGCAGAGTCCGACGATACATATTGAGCTGATTGTCAACATGATTCTTCAGAGGAAGGAAAAAAAACCGGGCGCGCAGCTTCCAACGGAATCGTGTTCCTTGGAGGCAAGGACTCGATCTCCAGCACGAGGCTCGAGTCTGGAATTGCCTTCGGGTGAATTTTCATCGAACTCTCACGTGGACATCTGGCCCATGTATCGTGTTCTTCTTCCTTTGGGAGATACAGAGCTCACAATTCTCGGTTCAGAGGTTTCGTATCAGGAAAATCTCCTGGGAATCCATTGGGCTTGGATCCGCATCCGTGCGTCTCATCACGCTTATGGATCCATTTTCCTGTCATTAGTGCGTCGCCCTGCATAGCCTGCGTGACGCAACTGCTGGGGAAATGAGGGGGAAATTCGACCAACTTCGTTTCACTCGATTCAAAAAAGAAGCTATCCTGAGAATAAGTCCATTGTTCCACGGATGGATTGATACGTGCAAGCATATCAGCCAGGGCCGTAAGTGACTGGGAATCCGCGTACGTATGTGCGTACCCACCCGTGCTCTGATTCCCGCAAGCGAGGCAGAGCATCCGAGGATGGGGCGATGGGAAATGTTTCCGGTTCCTCCTGTGCACAAAGCATTCATGTCGCATGCAATGAGCGCCGAGACTGGAAAGTCCCAAGCGGCCTGTTCGGCAGGCAGGCGGAGCAATCGGAACCAAGAAGGAGAGAGGGGAAAATGGGAGAATAGAGGCTTCTCGGAGGGAGACTCTTTTTATTTTTCTTTGGGAATTGTGCAGTGACAACACTGTTTGTGTCGGCCGCTGTAGGCGCTGTCTTCCTGACGGCTTGAACAAACTGCTTGGGATCCCTCAAAGAGACTCCTAACGCTGCATCCCAAGCAGAGAAATGAATGGATTTGGAGCGAGACTGCCTTCGGGGAGTGCGGCGGAGAACGAGGTTGCAGCCGGCTCCGCTGACGTCGCCGAGTGGGACTGGGGAACGAGCTCTGCGTTCACGTGCACCAATCTGCCGCCCTTGTCGACCCCGCTGATTAATGGTCATTACGCGTGTTGAGATCAGCCAAAAGCAGGGAACGAGACTCTAACTGATTGGGCAGAAGCAACTCTGTTCCTGGACGCGATCTCCAGTGGACAGAGATCTGGCTACCAACCGCCTTCGAATTTATTCTCGCACCCTCTAGCGACCTCGGAGCAACTCGGGAGTTTCCTTGTTAGGCTTCTTCTTCGGTCAGGTACTCTGCGGGAGCCCACGTTTCCGACTTCTTTGCGATCTGCTCCAATATCCTCCTGCGAGGTCGGTGTGGCTCCAGAGCGGGAATCCGCAGCTTCTTTGATGCTTCAAAAATGAGCGTGGGCTTTCCTCATGACCGACTGTCGGAAGACGACAATAAACATGTAAATCATTTTCAAGAGCCCTCTGCGACCGCCGGAGAAACGGCGACGACTCGAACAACGACATCTTCCCGCAAGCCGAGCGAACTCGAAGACGAAAGTTGGAATCAAAGATGACGTTTCTCTCTCGCTTCTCTCTTGCAGGCGACATTGAGCAGATCCACTACTCGTCGGGACGGGCGCTCATCTTCGAATTCCATTCAGACTTCCGTCGGAGCAACAGTACCGGCTTCCGGGGAACTTTTCAATTCCTTAATAAGGATCAATTCATGGTAAGCTCGACACACCCGCTCCGGTCGCCTGCCCGCCCGCCGGCACTCCGTAGGACCGAACCATTCGACGACCGAAGACAGACGGAGGAACGAGCGAACGAACGAACGAACGAATAGTGAGGATTAGGGACCACGTTGTGTTCTCGATGCCAGGCTGCAAAGCGCTTGAGGCTCCGATCCATTCGTTGATCGCGCTGATATTCTGGGGTTCGCCGCTCCGGGACACGGATGAAATGTTTTCACAAGTCCGTCGTCAGCGACAAGGAATCAAGGAGAGCGAACAGCCGGCTCCGGTATCCGCCCAATGGATCATAATCATAATCCTCCGTCTCAGAATAGAGAATAGTTCCCAGTGGATCGTAAGTGTGGGAACCGGGACAGAGCCTGATGCGAAACTCCTCGTCGTTCCTTCCCTTGTTTCTGCTCGATGCCGTCTTGTTCGACCAGCCCCGTCTCAGCTGGAACAGGCACCCTCTCTCTCTCTCTCTCTCTCTCTCTCAGGAACAGGCTCAACTTGTTGATGCGCGACTCAAAGTTTCTGAATCGGAAGAAGTGATTGCACAAGTCGACATACTAGACGAAACGTGGTTCGAGAGCTCTTCCCCGGCAATTTCAGTAAATGACGTACATTTGCTGGAGCCGGTGAGTTTATTTCGGCTCGAACTCTTCCAATTTTACTAAAAGCGTTCGCGGAGCGCTCGCAGAGCATTCGCGTGACGCCAGTCTAGCTCCTGCAAGGCTGGGGCAAGCTTGGCAAATAGCTGACCGCCTGAGCGAATGGCGAGGAACGGGCGGACCGACTCCCATACGAGGTCAGCTGACGGGCCGACCGCAGTTGCCTCTGTCGATCCGCTCAACTCGGTGCAGGAGCTCAAATTCCGTTGGCATCATGAAACATGATCGCTATGGCGGGAGGATTCTTCTTGCAGGAGCCCGCGTATGCTTCCATCGGTGGATCTTTCGGATTCATCTGTGGTTTCTGTTTGGTGCTCCCTCAGCTTGCTTTGCTGTGTTGCGGACTCCTCCAGAACAGAACCCATCCTGGAGCTGGATCGATCCGGTGCGACCGAAAGACTTCCCGGAGTTCCATTCTGACAGAGGAGTTGTGTCATTCTCAGTCATTGTTTTTGTCTCTTTCCCGAAAGCGAGGAGTCATGAATCACCGAGATATTGTCAAAAGACTGTAAGAGAATTTCCGAAGCATTCCTGAAACGTCCGCATAGACGAGCAAAAGTTTGCGGGGCTTCGTCCCCTGTGGCTTCGGACACGGATGCGACGATCGATCATTTGCCCCTTCTGTCTGAAGGGAGAAAAATATGGTGACCTGTTCATCATCGCTCAGAAACGATTGGAGTGAGAGCAACATGCGACTAAATGAGGGCCTCGGCGGATTCGGCCGCAGCTCTTCCTCCTCGCTCCGTCGCTCTCTTCCTCCATCAGTGTCAGATGGACGGAATGATAACGATACTCTTTGAAGTTTCGCGACGGCCTCGACGGATGGACGGACGGCCAGCCCGCCAGTTAATGGTTGCGGCGTAATGGAGGCACGTCGGTGTCATCATCATCATAACCGTTGTCGCCGTCGTCGTGAGAGAAAAAACCTCTCTACCGGTTAAGTCGACGCGTTTGCGGTTCAAAATCGTAGGGATCAGGTATAAAATATGAAAAACACGTTCCGATGCTGCCTGTCTTCCTGACGTTCGGATTTTCGCATACGCTCCCACCAACATTGTGCGAACGGCTGACTTCAACAGGGAGAAAAATCACTGTGTCTGCTTCGATTCGCTTCACGAAGGCGACGCCTGTTCCACGTACCACGCTGTCGTATCGCTTCACTTACCAAGTCGTCGTCGCCGTCGTCGTCGTTCCCTCCGTCGTCATCTTGTATCTTCTTGGTCGGGACAAGAGAGTCGGAGAAAAAACGCTGTCATCGAAGTTTCCGGAGTTGTTTTTCTCTCTTCCTCCGAGGCGTCGAAACGGTGTGATTCACTGAGGGCGTTCCCATACGGACGGCACGCTTTGACGCACGGATTTACCTTTCCAGACCGAAGGGATGCTCATCGAGGACACGCACTGCGACTTCGTCATGGACTCCGTGAATAGGACGGAGGGCCGTTTCTTCTCTCCGCAGTACCCCTCGAATTATCCCCGTGAAAGCAGATGCTCGTATCAATTTCTCGGGAGGTTTTCCGAACGCGTCAAAGTTGTTTTCGGCCAGATCCGACTGCAGAAGGGCGACTACAGCTGTTACAATGCGCCAGACAAAATAAGTGAGTACTTCCAAGTTCCAGGGTTAGATCGACCTCATTGAGCTCTCTGTGGACCCGCGCGTAGTTTTCCTATCGTTCATTTCACTACCGGGATAGAGGCTCGAAAATAGTTCATAATCGGCGAGGAGCGGGAGTAGGGTGGGAGCTGAATCGAAATCCCGGGCTTCTCTCTCCCGACCTGGAGTCGATCGAGGCTTGCTGGAGCGGATGGTTTCAACTCCACGAGCCCCGGGCTAACGCTCGCGGCTCCTGATTAGCATTTGTTTGTTGTACGGTTACCGCATGCCGCGGAAAAAAACGTCTCTAAAATATATAAAAATGCGCGAACGGATGGGGCAACATGAGCTGTGGCAGCACAGCGCGCTCGTTGCTACAATTGATTCACCTCGAGAGCTCGGTTCCTCTCGGCTTCTCCCAAACTCTGTTGAAGCCTGCGATTTCCGGCTGATTTGGCCGAACGTAAAGTACAAGAGGCCATCTGTCGACTCTCGCTTTCGGCGGCCTCACGTGTAGTTCGCGGATGGATCCTCACAAGAGCGCAAAGGTATCCTCGGTGTTGTTTAGAGGAAGCGTCGTAACAAGTACGTATAACGTAACAGGGGCGAAAAACACAAGATCTCGGGAGGATGACTTGTCCTTTCCGAGTTTTGCGCAGGTGTTCTCCCTCTTGAGAATGTCTCGATTTGTTGATTACTCGGACGGTCGACGTCGTCGCCGTTGTCGTCGGCTGCTCCGCCGCAGTCGCTGCTATCGAAATAGCTTGCCGAGCAGCCCTTCCAAATGAGCCGGCGAACTCGTCGAGCCATTCACTTTTGTCAAATATTAACAGAGCTATCTTGATTCCTTTTCACAAAGGGACGAGAAACGATGAGCGACCCGAGAGCGACTAAATTGCGACTCTTCCTCCATTTCGAACCATCAAGTCGGCCTCTGCCGACTCTAAGCCGACAGCTCATCACGGACCGACCGACCGCCGTTCGTTCGACGGTCGTCGGACGAACCGAGGTCGCTACTGAAGCCAGTGAGACCAACCAAGCAGTGCGCTTGCCGGCCCGTTCGTTCGTCCGTCCGTCCGATGAGCCAACCGACCGACCGACCAAGTCAGCCAAGTAGCAGTTTAACCTCTCCACCGAGCAGCGTCGTGCACGAACAAAAGTGCTCTCAAGCCGCTCGGTCCTTCAGTCTCCGCTTCCTCATGAAGCATCCCGTCTCCCGACCACAGAAAGTCTTCTTTGTCGCCCAAATAGCATGGTCGTTCCCTCTGGTGGCATCGCCATGGTTGCCAGAGCTCCCGTTTCCTGATTTTAGCAATAGGTTTTGATTAAGTTTCGGGAGAACGGGAGCGATAGAAAACCGAGCCGCGAGGAATAGCTCCGAGGCGAGGTGCACGTAAACGGTCGGTGGAGTTCCTCAGACCTCAGCCGAACTCCCGGGAAGATCGCGACCGCTCGACGGGGATGAGGGTTCCGCGGGGCGGTAGCTTGACCGTAGCTGCGAAGGAGAAGAGACGAAGCGCGAAACTCCGCGTCTTGGCCGTCGAGACGTCTCGCGCTGCTTAACGTGAGCAAGGTTGAGAAAATGCGCGTCAATCTCGGAACCATTGGGCTATCGGGGCCGATAATGGCGCGCCTTGTGGTAATGACCGACGGTGAGGCAGCGAGACAGTCGGCGGACGAGTCGGACATTGGCCAAATGAGTTGGCGAATCGGGAGAAAAGTGTCACTCTCTTTCGCTCGTTGACTCTTCTGCAACAACCCTCCCTACGCCAATCACTTAGAGGAGGTCCTCCCGTTCCTCCTCATCGGGTTCGAGCTCTGACGATGGCTCGAATCAATGGAGCCAGCCGACTCCTGGGTTCTGAGCTCGGGTTTATACTTGCTCGTCGCCATCTATCGACCTCAGGATCCCGAATAACACGCTCACGGTACTCGCGAGCGTCCGAGAGTATCGGAATTCTCGATTCGTGTCACGACTGCTGGTCAGGTGTCTCTGGGCACGAATCCTTCCCCACCGGATTGAGTAATTCCCGATGCTTTCCCTCAACGGTCGACACTGAATGGTATCATCAGAGAAATGCGGATTCCCCGCTATTCGAACCTCGAATCCGCCCACCGAGTTTCCTCGTCGAAGAACGACGAACACAGTAAGATGCATGATCGTTCGCGGCGCGAACGCTCGGAGTGCCAGCCAGCAGCAGGGACGAGCCCGAAAAGCGGAGCGACTCCCACGGAGACGGAGTATTTCCCCTGTCGGAAATCGGAGTGTCATCCGTTTTGCCGCGTGAAATATTGACGACTCGTTTGTTGTTCGAGTCCAATAAATGAACGCATGATTTAGAGGCTTGCCTCGAGGACGACTTTCGCAAAACGCAATCTTTGAGAATTTTCCGAGTCGACTTCGGCTAAGGCCGTAGAGGACCGTCTCCGTTTTTCCTATTCTGATTTCCCGCATTCACATTCAACGAGCGCCACGAATCAATTTCGGTTTGAGTCCGGTTGGAACAGAGACAGGTCGATACCATCGCCTCCCTTTTCGTCTCGGTTCCCCTAGCCGAGGGAAACGCTCTCTCCTGCTCCTGCTTCGAACTACGGAATCAATTACCTCGATCCACCTTCTAATGATAATCGAATCTTATTGTTTCTCGTCTCTGCGAGGGGTGACCGCACCTGAATCTTTCTTTCCTTCTTTCAATCGTCTTGTTCACCGAGAGCGATGATCTTTTCCGTCATCATCATGAAAGAGCTATCATAGCACCGTCTTCGACGACTTGTGATGACGATCGTGGTCGAGGATCAAAAACCATTGAGGGTCTCTTGGAACCGCTTGGGATAATCGTTTGAGGCCGATCCAAGCCGTCGAGAAACGAACGATTCTCCACAGCAGGATATGAAGCCCGAAATCGTTGGAAATTCCTGTCGAGCGATCGCCGGACTCCGCAGCAGTCATTCGAATCAGCGAGGGTAATAGTGCAGGGAAAAGTGTGTTCGAGCGGTCTTCTCTCCGGATTCGAAGAGCGACGGGTGACGGTTATGTAGTGCACCGCAGATGGAAACGGACTGCGTACCAGTTTTTCCTCCGGTACGATCGACTCGGCGACGCAGGAATTTCATTTTTATCAAGGACCCTTTGTTGAAAAGCCAATCTCTGCCGGATATTGAGTCTATTTTGGCCGAGGGGCTGGTCGTTGTTGAGGAACTTGTTTCCGACTAGGAAATACCTTCGGAGCAACCGAGTGCGGTCGAACGGCTTCGAGGAGCCAGCTTGTGTTTTGTTTTCTCCAAACTTCGAAGATGGTCGAAAGAGAGGAAAACAGTCGTCCCTTACCCGAGAACTGAGAGCAAATTCATACCGATTAAGCTCCTATGATGATTGTGTTTCGTCCGGAGAGCTCATCATAGCTCCAGTCCGATCCAAGCTTCGCAACTTGCAGGTCGAGCTTGATACTCGAGCTGAGGAATAGCAAAGTTCCAGAGCTTTTCAATTTCGCCCAAACTCGTGTTCGGTCCAGAAAGCACACTTATATATTCAAGAGCGTCATTTGCCGCAAGTGTACGCAAGCCGTGAACTCGGCATCCGGACATCCGCTCATTCAGAGTTCTAATAGGATCGGACGCTCAGAGGATGAACTTATAACTTCCATGAGCCCGAGGGGCGACATCCTGCCCGCCGATCCGCATCCCTCCCCCTCCGTCGCGACTCTCTGTTGTGGAGTTCAGGAAAGTTTTTTCTCTGGGAGTTCGATCTAAAAACGGGAACTCGGAGAAGAAATTGGGGAAATGCAAATACATATCAGAGAGTTCGAGAAAGGGTAGGAATAAGTTGTTGTTGATCATATTTGAACGGGACTCCGATGGCCAGGCATGGGAAGAAGCGGCGGAAAGGAAGCGGGCATTGGAGGAAGTCGGGTTCGAGGAAATTTTTATATCGACTCCGTCCCGCCGCTGCTGATGGTACGCATGGCGAGCCTCGTTCGTTTTTTTGGCTCGCTCGTTCGCTCACACGACTGAGAACGCCAGAAAACAGGGGAGAAACCCCGCGGCCGGTTCGATGTGCTCCTCTTCGAGCCCTCATCCCTCTTTCTCCCGCACGACCCCGCGAACTTCGACCTCGGAGCATTTTAAGCAAACGGTGATATAGGTTTTCCTTCCCGGTCCCAGTCATCGCCTGCAGCGACTTCCGACAACAAAGGCATCCCTCCCTCATACTACGCCGTCCACCATCGTGAAACATAGAGCACGTTTCGAGTTTTTCCGTTTCGATGCCATGACCTGGTCGCAGGCCCGGAGAAGCCCCGATTTCAGAAGATCATTCTGAGCATTCTATTTCCATGGCATCCGCATCGCCATCTTCTTCGGAAGTCCACCAGAGCTCGGTGGTATTTCGTATTTTTCGAGGATCGAATTCCTCTGCCTGCTAGATTTTGTTCGATCTCATTACTGGGCTCCGTTTCGAAAACGGGCTTGAAGTCCCGGGATCTTCTCCGTTATGAACACCGATATCCGATCACGCGCAGGTTTTTCTGAACCCAGACTAGCTACGATGGCGGACCTCTCGAACCGTGATGATCGACAGTCGATGAGGCTGACCGAGAAGCGACGCGACGGCGCCGTTGCTGGAAGACACCAAAAGATTTTTCTCAAGACGATTGGATGGAAATTCGGCTATCACAGCTCCAATCCGATCCTGTCTCGTTTCATAGTGAGGTACTCCGGTTATGGTCCTCTATTCGAAAGCCGCGGATATTCGGAGACTAATCTTTAATTTCTGAAAACTCATACGCTAGCTCGTAATTCGCAAACCAAATGTCTGAATTCGTGAGCTCGCTTCAGGGCAGATGAGCTGCGAAGTCGACAATAGATACCTGAGGAGACATCGTGGTTGGGCTCGATATCGAACCTTTCTTTGATAATCCTCTCGCTGACGGGGGATCGCCGCTCGAAGCCAAGGCTCTAGGCTCGGTCCACGCCGAATGTCCCGCCGGAGAGTCGGCCTGCGGGAAGATTTCCGAAGGCACCGTTGGGCTACCTGGGTGATTGAAGTATCTTCCCGATGAGAGGAATATCCTCGAAAATTGCGTTTTCCGAGGATTCTCCAGCGCAGAGAACAGGGAAAGACCCCAACCCTGCAAGTGGCGAGCGGTATCTCGAGAATCTTCGGTCTCTGACCTCGGTTTTCCCGCTTCACCTGGACGAGTTGGATGACGTTGAGCAAACTGGCCGGAATTTCTCGAGAAACCGGAGGCTACTCTGGCTTGCTGCGTATGGTTCCCCGCACCGTTCCACCATCAGACAACGCCCTAGGGAAACCTCCTGTTCGTCGACGCCCCCGAGGTCGATGACGATTTGGGATTGTTCCTCGAATCTGTTTCACTGTCTGACAATGAGACTTGGGAACTCTGTCAGTCTAAAGTTCTCTCGCTTCTTGCAGCCATCCACGACGGAAAGGATCTCGGCGCACCCGTGATCGGCACGCTCTGTAATCGCAACATGTGGGTAGAGCTGGTTTCCACGGGTCCAGACCTTCTCGTGACCTTCACCACGTCGTCGCACTTCCCTGGACGCGGGTTCTTCGGAAACTTCACCTTCATCGAGATGCTCTCTCCGCCGCCAATTTCCGCCAGCATCGACCAGAACATGTACCCATCATCGCTCCGTGAGTGAATTCCATCATCAGGAGAATATAGCAGCAGTACGATAGTATTAGATCGGACAGCTAGAAATACGCCCGACACCTTGCATGTCGGCTCCCGAGAGGATTGTTCAAGACAGGAGTTCAGGCACGCACGTATTCTCCGTGCGATCCGGGCACTAGTTCCATTGGCATCATTACGAGCTACGCCCCGCGTTCTTTACAACCGACCCCGCTGAGCTCCGCCAAGAGGTCAGCCTTGGGATGATTTGATTGTTACGCGTAAAACGAGACGCTATTGATCATCGGGAGCGCAACGGGAGATCCTCTTTTCACCATAGGGATCCGTCTCGGTCGCCATCAGGATCGATGTTCCAATTAGGAGACGTGGTCCATGACCAAGACTTGATCATGGCCAACCAACGCTCGTGATGATCGTTTGCTGCACGAGCTGCATCCTAGTAAATGCTGGAAGAACTTTCCGGCAGTGGATCGGTGGAATCCATCGTGTTCACGATGCTATATCGTTCGTCTTGCGCGGAAGAGCGTGTTCTCATCGAGCGGGAACTTTCAAACGTTCGTCTATGCTCAAGCTGCAGCGCGCGACCGCATTTGGAATCTCTCGACAGAGTGGAGGATTTTTCGACGTACAGCGCCGCTCTGAACTCTTTCTCAGGGTCCATTTCCGGAACAATTAGAGAACTCACTCGCCGCAGTGAGAGCTCTGGCTAGAATGGGTTCCACCCCATTTATGGCAAAAATGTCCGTTTAGCTTTGGCACAAAGAATTCACTTGCGCTGAATAATGGCGGCAGTTCCACGTGACTTTCCCGACACGCGGCGACACGGCTCCCATTCAGCAGAATTCAGAGCGCTCTGAGTGAGCACAATTCAGGATTTTTCGTGGTCTCTCGAGGACTGTCCAAGTGAAGTTGTCGTCACTTAGATGGAGCGCAGTCAAATATTCCGGGGTCGCAATGAATTTTTCTGCCTTCCGCGTGCACGATAGAGCTCGATGCCGCTTCTACGATGGAGGTCTTGCGCACGAAGCAATATGTCAATGGAATTGGACGAGGGCCGCTGTGCTTTCGGTGTATCCTCAGTTGGAAGACGGGAACAGAAGTAGTTCCGGGCTCGCCGGCGAAGATAAGAGTGCGAGGACCAGACGACTCGGTCTGCGGCTACACCTCCTTGCAGGCTCCGGGATTCTCACGTCGTTCGGTGTCGCGAGCCCGACACTCACGGACGGACTTGAGAGTCGGCGAGTAGCTACGCTCTGCGAGAAGCTGATCGGAGCGAGGCCGCTCCGGGAAACCTGGATCGTAGACGATCACAGATCGCTAAATCCTGCGAGGATTAGTTTTCTGGAATCGAGTTCCCTTCAATCATTTTCAATCGTTTCTCCGGAAGTCAGCATTGCCCACGACTGACTGAGAGGACTGTATGTATGTAGATGATGACGCGCAGGGAGGGAGATCTTCCGCGTAAGTGCTCCCGATCTAGGTTCCGAGAGAATTTCGACTCGTTCGGATAACAGAGACTCTCGAATCCCTCGGGAGCCTCTCTGGAAACTCGGTAATTCCGCGATGAACAGTCGGCTCGCGCGGAGCTCTCTGTGGGCTCTTCTTGGACTTGGGGAATCAGAGGAGGTGAAGTTCCTCGGGTACATTATATTCTCACTTAAGGAATTATTCAAGAACGGAAAACTTCTCGATCGGGGCCGACTCTTCTGGAAATCTCCGCGGGGAACGTGAGAAGTCGAAGACGCCGACGACGCCAGAGCTGGAGTTTCCGCGACACAGCTGCACGGACGAATACGCTGCGACAAACAGGGACCGAAGACGGGGGAATTTTTTCCGGACCGCGATGTCTACATATTCGTTCCGTCATTAGACGGCGTTCTCCGAAGCTGTTGACGTGCCTCTGTATTAGTATACTGGCACGCCAGATTCGCTTCTTGGACAGGCGTCGATGCTGATGGCATCGCCTTCCGCGAATTTGCCTCTGCTTTGGAAAGATGATGTTCATTCCTTCGGTCTCTAAGCTCGGTGAGCTGCGGAGGGAAAGCGCGATGCTCGCAATAAATGCGACAGAATCAGCCGTCTGAGCTTCGACGCAGTATCGACAGATCTGTGTCCGGAAATTCCCGTTTTTCCTCCCTCTGGATCGTTTCCCAACGGCTAATGCGTGTTCTTGTCACGATTTCAGATCCGGACAAGGTGTCGTGGGAAACGTTCGGTCAGTTCCCGCAACACGGTGCCACCCATGGTAAGTAGTATCGCAATACGTTGCGAGCTCTTGCCTCCTCAAGAGTAGCATGCGATGCGGAAAGAGCTCCCTCCGCGACAGAAAACGACTGGAAATTGCATCCCGCGAGGAGCGTTATATTACGAGAATTTTCGATGAGGTCAAACTCTGTTAGATTCTTCGATCACTTGACTAGGTTTTCAATTTCCTTTCATTCTTATATTATGTTCATCTATCTGTGAGTCAAACTTTTCGTCTAGGCAGACAGATAATAATTGCAGGATTCCGTGTTCCGTATTCAGTTTTGTGGTTCTCGAGAGGGGGATTCCTGGGGGCTCCAGCGAGTAGCTGGAACGTTCGTGCCATTTTGCTGTACAGGTCGCTTAGAAACATTTCATGTCGTTATGTAAATAGGATCAGGCCCATAAATGCGAACAGCTAAGAGAAAGAATGCATATTCAAAAGCTGCGGCGCTCGAGGACGCTTACATGCAGTTACGCGGCGCACGACGACATTGCCCGAAGGACGATGGGAACTGTTTTGCTTGCTGTTTGGGAGTGCGTACGATTTTATTGCCAGGCTGCTCCGACGATGCTCCACTTCCTTATTTCCTCTAGAATCCGCCCGAGCTCCCTCCACGTTTTACTTCCATGGCCGGCACTCGTTGGCATTATCTCTCTGTCCTCGCTGCTCCGTCCTTCCGTCTGTCCGTCCATACGTCCTTGCGTCCCTCGATGCCTTTCCCTGTTCTCCTTGCCGATAACCCTGTTATTCCAGACTTTGTCGCAGTCTGGTCCCATCTGAATTTGGAAGGCTTGAGAGGATACGTCTACAACTCAGTCGCGGAAGCTCTCTATGTCGATCGGACGACTTGGTCTGGAGATCCTCACCGACGACACATAGAGTTGTCAGCTGTTGATTAGGCAATCATCTTCGCACCCGACCTCGGGTCTTCAATCGGTCGGTCGGTCGTTCGATCGTTCGGAGTAGACGATGACAGGATCTTATTAATGACTTCGGTCACATCGGTCGCCATGCTGCGATGAAATCTTTTCCACGATGTATTAAGGCTGCGATAAAGAAAAATCCGATACGGAAAAAACTCGCTCGCCATGAGCAAGTGGATAGGGAGAGACCGTTCAGTTCTTTTCCTCTCTGCGTCCCGCTCGTTTTCCCGCTTCCTCTCGCGTTCCTTCCGCCTGCTCGCCCCCGATCGACTGCCGCGAGGAAGGAGCGGACCGAAAGCGTTACCGTAGATAGATGTGCTCGTTAAGAAGCCAGTCGGCAGACGCAGGCGGTATTGAAGCCGAATCGCTTCCAGACAAACCGAGAGTCGGTCGCTGATCCGGACGGAAAAGTTGGGCGGCCGAGAGCGACGAGAACGCCTTGAGGGTAACCAGTCGACTTAAGTCGGAGCCTCATCGAATAAGATTTCCAGGTAGTATCTGTCGAATGTCATTCCCAGAGAACTCCGTCTCGGGTCCGTCAAGCAAAACCAAAGAATCCCGGAAACGTCGCGTCTCCGTAATCAGATCACGTATGGACGGTACGGACTCGTCACGGATGATCTTATCTTTTAATTCGGTCCGCCAGCAGTCGGAACGAGGCTGCCGCTCCCGTCGGTCCAGTTCACCAGACGGACAGCCGAACATCATCAGATCGCGGAGTCTCGTGTCATCACGTCAGGCAACAAGCGGCTCGACGTCGCGTCGGCGGAACGACGATGCCGAAAGCCCCCGATGCCCTCCGCCGTAGTCAGCGGATGTTTTATGCTGGAGTGAAAGTCCCTTTGATGCCACCGGATCGGCGGGCTCCGGCCGTTATCGGAGCCAACGTCTCCGATGGAGCGGCAAACTTCCGCATTAGACTCTTTCACGAGCAGTTTTTGGCCTGGCTTGCTCCAAAGGCCCAACTGGACGGCCTGTTCAGAGGTCGGCGGGCGCGGCCAGTCAGCGTGTGCCTCTAGGCCAGACGACTATAGATGCTCCGCCGCCGTCTCACAGGTGATATGAATGGGATTGTCCCGACAGACGCTGCTCGGATAAGGAGAAACACACCGACAGACTGGCTCCCCCTAAGGGTCTCGACACAATAACTTTGCACTTCCGCCCAAATCCCGGCCGCCTTTGTGGCTTGGTGATCCACAAGCTGGCTCCAACCTTGGCCGAGCTGGTGACCGGCCGTCCCAACGGATGCTCCTGCACAAATGCCTGTCTAAACGAACAGTCTGCCTACGCCTCGCCCCTTCAGCGAAGTATGATGGCGATGCGAAGGAGGAAGTCTTGCTTTCGCATTCTCCTGCTCCTTCCATGCCGCCGGATACTTCTCCGAAGCGAAGGGCCGGCCGAGAGTCGACTTGAGAAGCACAAAGACGAAAGCCAGGATGCTCTCGTCCTCCAAGCTCCTACGCCGACGCAGAGAAACGAACGACAGACCGATGGACCGACTGGCAGTTCCGCACAGTCGACATCGGCTCCGTAGATCTCCGGTTTTCCATTTTCGGAAAATTTCATGTGATCTCTATTCGGACAATGGGATTCATATTGAGAATCATCGGAGCGACGGAGTTTGCGAATTCAGCTGGCGTAGGTCATCTTCTGGATGGAAAAGTTCCGGAAAGGTCGAACCGACGGGACAGGTGCACGAGTCCTGGGGCTTTCTCCGTCCATGATCAAAAAGCACTCCTGTATTTTTCCTCAAATTCAAGCTAGCCCGATAAGCGAACGACGGAGATTGTATTCATTCGGAGGTCGGTCTCGAATTATTCCGCCCGCTCTTTCCGGCGCACCTGTCGCGAACGGCTCGTACGTGATTGTAGATTCATTTTCCCATCTCCCTCGCTATCCCGCGAATCATTCTCCGCGAAAGCAGGGTAAGTCCCGACAGCGATGAGAGCTATCCGAACTTGGAGATCGCTGCACGGAGCATGCGGGAAATTAGGTTTTGAACTCGGAGATGATGTGCGACATGGCGGGTCCGGACCTTCAGATTTTTAGTTGTCGACCGTCGAGTTGACGGTGAAAATAATGGCCTCGACGGGAAAGCCTCTGTTGAGAGTTGGCCAACGCTACTCAGTTTGAACCGTATTCTAGTTCAATCAACGCTCGGTCCGAATATGCGCGGATCGGGCCCGCTTCGGAGATCGGATAGACCTGTTACCGGAGAGGGGGGACATGCGCATGCGTATCTCAGCGGTTCTGGCTCGGTGCGAGGAACCGCATGAGGAAATTCTCAGGCTCTCCCGCGGGCTGGGTCGAGATTGGATGCGGGATCCTATTCACGGTCGCATCCGAAAGGAACATCTGGGACCCAATGAAAGATCAGAATGAGGGATCTCGATCGTCTTGGGACCCTGTCGGAAGTTCTCGGACCATCCCACATACCTTTAGGACGTTATCCGGCTCCTATATCCTCTCAAGACCATCGCTCGGGTAGAGACGGGGTACATGAAGAAAAATATTGCGTTGTCTCCAGCGATCAGGAGTCCCTGGTCGCCGGAAAGCCGATAGATTGAAAATAAGTGTCTTCGGCTGAAACGTGTCAAGGATTGGCTTATTAAGCATTCGGAGGGCTAGGAGAGGAGCCGAGGAGACGCGTCATCCATCACGGACTCCGATCCAAGGAATTCAGGATCCACGTGTAGGAATTGGTGTCCTGTCAGCCGACCGGCCTGAGAAGGCTTAGGCTCTCATTCTTCGGCAGGGGACTCAGCGGCTCAATCAAGCGATGATTGGCCACGTTCAGAAACAGGAGACCTAAGCTGGCTTTTGCGAGATGTCCTTGAGAATTTTTGAAACTTTTGACGGATATTCTCCTTCTGAGCGTCGTGATTTTCTCTCTCTCAGAGGGAGAATCGATGTACATGAGGCACGCTCGTAATCGACGAGGCTCTTCTCTACAGAATACTGGAGGCGCGCACAGGGGGGAGTGGCAAGGGGCCATGGCCCCTACCGGAATTCTTCGGTTTCAATTCTGAAGTATGACCCCGACAAGGCGCGTCATCGTTCTTGGTCGTCTGGCCCCTTCCGAGAGTCTAGTTGCCCCCCCCCAGGAAAAAAATCCCGTGCGCGCCCTGCAGAATACACAGAGAGCTCTCTCATCTTCCCCTCGGGTTCCCGGACTTGGTCCCTAATTTCTGTTCAAATCTAAGGGTGGGACGCCCCGGGAAGGTGGTGTATGCATACCGAACCAATGAACCTCGGTCCGATCCTTTAGTTCGAGCGGAGTATCTCTCCGTTCGCAGAAGAAACCTCTAGGAGAGCTTTCGGAAGCGATCATATAATTCCCGACCTCCATGCAGAATTAATGAGCTGATGATCGAGAGAGCCTCACTCGAGGGTCCCATTAACTGGGCGCGAAGCCTTCCCGTCGATGATTCGAGCGGAAAGACTGATTGACCTCTGTGGTCATCGCGTATCCGACCCACGACAATTATGCGAGCAGCGATTCGACTTACGACCGGAATGTTTCTTGACTCAGAGCTCTCGACTCCCGAGTGGAGGCCGAGAAATTGAAGTATGAATTCAGAGCATCATTAGAAACCCTTCGTCGAGTTTTCCCCACTCAACGGCGCTCATGATGACCGTCGTAACTGCGCTTTAAGCATAATAATTAATCGTTCTATCTCTCCCGTCGAAGCCGTCCCCACCGCGTCTGACGAGTTTCTTTATTTCCCTCTCCGGAACTCCTTGCCGCGGTCGCGGCAGCTGCTCGCGAAGGTAACTCGGGCAGGAACGTGACGACGGCTGTAACTTCGAGAGCCGAAAATTTAGGAAGATCATCCAATGAGCCACGTGCCTCCCTCGTTCGATGTTATTCTCCTCCTGATAGAGTCCTTGAGCCAATACCACAAGGAGCGGGAGGCTCGCTGATCTTGCAGCATCTTGCAAAAGTCCGCCAGAAATAAGGACAAGCTAATCTTTGGAAATCGCTCCGGCGTCAGATCTTCTGCGCTGACCTGCGGAGCCCGCGCTCTGCGAGAATAAAGGTTTGAGTCACTGAATGGTCTCGACTTCCTCATG